GAAGAACAAAATGTTATTTGTATGTCCAATTTTGTGCTGTGACTACAGTTTCAAGATTTTTCGATTTTTTTTGTGGAAATAAGGCGCGTAACCAGGGGGGGGGGGGATTGGCAGGACAAAACCCCTGACGTTAACAGAAATTTGTTCATTTTTCTAGGAGTTTTATGAAAAAATCATAAAAATCACCCTCTTCCATAGAGGAAGATTTGATTATATGGATTGAATTTTCCATATAAAATTTTTTTGTACCCTCCTCTTCAAATTCTTGGCTACGCTCCTGGTGGAAACAATTTTGAATTATCAAGTGATGCCAAAGCGTAAAAACTCAGGATTAATCCTAAAAAATCCCTGAGCCAATAAACATGAAAATGTGAAATCCCTTTTAAATCTTGGAATTATTAATCAAATGCTTAAGGTATTTAAAAAGGATTTCACATTTTCATGTGTATTGGCTCAGGAATTTTTTAGTATTTTCGGGATTTTTCAGAATTAATCCTGGGTTTCCACGCCTTAATTGATGCTTTACTGAAATACAAATAAGTCAAACTACGATTAGTATAGAGTACCCCAAGTAATTCCAGATACCAGCTCCAGGATTAAAATATTTCAGTTCTATCTATTTTGAAAGCTACATTTCTATATTGTGTAAATTGATTGATTGCTCTATATCTCAGTAGATTTATTGTGAAATAATCAAAAGATTTATTTCAAATTTAAAATTAAGATGTTTTTTGAAGTGGGATAACAAAACATCGCCGGAAGGAAGCTTACATGCTTTCTTTGGAAATTTAGTTTATCATCTGCTTTTCAAGTTTTATATTTTATACCAATTAAGAAGAACAAGTAATTGAAGTGATTTCTATAGCAGATATAATTTCTTTTCTATATTTGTTTTTGAACTACTCCAATTATGAGAAGCACCAATTAATTTAACTCAAGTTACAACTTTTGAAATTTTAATTAAGTCCACTTAATTTTATTTTAATGAGCACAATTTATTTTACAAGCAGCTTTGTAGCCAGCAATTTAACGAGAGAGATTTTTGGTTTTTTTTCTTTAAAATTTTTCAGCAAATTAAAAAAAAATTCATCTTTCCTGACTCTGACACTGCAACTAAGTAGACAATGTTGATTATCAATTGAGTTCCTAAAGCTATGACTAACGAAAGTTAGTCAAGCTAGTAAAATACAATATTTGAGACTTCAATATGTGCCCTTTCCTTCCTTTTTCTCTTTTCCGTTGCCAGATTTCGTTCATAGCTCAAAACATAAACACAGAACGAGTGAGGAAAAGATGTAAGCATGGAGTCTTTTACCACACACAAAAAAAGACAGGCATTATCGATTTTTTTCTTTTTCCTCCGCCTTCCGTTCACTCATTTTCGGTCCATGTTATTGTTATCATTTATACTTTTTTTTGCTTGTTCTTTCCTCTTCCGTTTTCATTTATATTTCTATGAGAAGCACAGAGAACGAATGCATAAATAGATATGAAAGAAAAATATGATTTATCAAATTATTCACTGCCTTAGAAAATTTTTCTCTTCCTTTCTTCTTCTTTTCATCTTTTTGTTTGAGTCCTTTGTGAAATTTTTGGTGAATTTTTTGGCACTCACTCAAAATTGAAATTTGATCGAGCTTTAAGATGTTCTTGTGATATTTTAAGAATTTCTGAGCTAGTAGACATTTATTGATCGATTAAAACGTTTGAAAGCACAAAAGTCACTTAGAGTTCTGATTTTAATTTTTTCAAAAATGCCGTACACCTAGGAGCGTAATATGAGAACTTAAGGATACGCCTCTACATGAAATTCTAAATTCTATGAGCAATTTGATGCAAATTTTTTCAAGGATCAAAGCTGCCTTTCGCTCATGATAATCGTCTCATGCTTATGGGAATAAAAATGAATTTAAAGCTCGTACATGCATGAATAAAAAGGAAGGAAGGAGAGAGAAAAGAGAAAAGTTTACGCGTAATGGATTAAAAAAAAGATTTTTTTTTCTTTCGGTACGAGAGAAAAAGTTTTAGACAAAAAGGAATCCTATTTTGCTTTTAGCTTTGAAAAGAATGAGCTTTCTTTTAGCACGAGCAAAGTAATCGATCATAAGGATTCTTGTTGTTTCCATTTAGACCCTCACCCCTAATTAGCAAGTTTAGTAAATCAAATTTATTTCTAAGCAATAGGAATGGTGAAAAGGAAATGTTTTGCATTTCATGAATATTCAATTGTCATAGCTTGGTGATGCCAAGAATAAATTTGAACCGTCGACAAATTGCAAACGATTTTATGAAAGTCATCTTAAAGGGATTTTCTGAGAAAATGTATTCTAATGGAAACAGATACTGCCTGACGATATCGCCTACTATACGGTCCGGAAAATGAAATTTTATGATGAAATTCTGTAACATTATGCCTTCTTGTTAGAACAGATATTTTTCAATTAAAATAAATTATCGCATAAATGTGCTGTTTCGTGCTTGAAGCAGAATCCTTCAAAGTTAAAGTAAATGAGCATATTTTAGAGGGTTTGAGGATCCTTTGAACTAAGTGTTGTCTTAAGGTACTTAGAGACTTAGGCAATTAAGAAGAATTTGAGGACGCAGAGAAAAACCCTTTAAACTGTTTTTTTTTTCTTAAGGTTTTTGGAGAATGTCCCTAAATTGAAGAAAATTCAATCGTTTAAAAATGTCTGACTTAAAAATCTTAGCCCTATCAAGAAAATCGTCCTTTATGATATCCAACATCAACGGCTATTATTTTTCATACCCAATCCTCCCTTAGTGACATTAATTACGAACACACCTTTGTTGAAAAATTTTTTTGATGAAATTTTACACTGAGTTTAATAATAATTTCTGCATATGAGAGATATCATCTCTAGGCGTCGATGTATTTTTCATAATATTTTCCTTAATTTTTTTCCTTTGAATACCTTAATTCTCAAAAGGATTACCCGTAATGAAGATATGAAGATTAATAGCACATTAATCTTTTATACCGATAAACAAACAGCCTTAGATTCAGTAAAAATGATTAATCTTCAAAAACATAAAGCCAAGGTTTTAACTTTCAAAGATATCCTAGAATATTTTGTTGCTAATGCTGAAGTAGACATAAAGTTAGAGTTTATCCAGTGAGCAACACAAAAATCCAAAACAGAACTTTACCATCATGATATCCAAATGTCAAATTCATCAGTATACCAGCATAATATCCAAACAAGAAATAAATTTAATGAAACTTGCTTCTTATTAAGTTTTATTAATTTTCATTCAATGAAAAGCATTGAATTGAAAATAGAGAAATTTGAATTCACTACAAGTATCCCAAAAAAACATCCTTTTCTTCTTTCCGACTTATTCTCATTCGTATATAAAAAAAAAATCTTCAATAGTGAGCCATAACCCAGCCTTTTTTCCTCTTCTCTATTTACATTCAAATAATTTCCACAAGAGACTTTCGCAATGCCAAAAAAATTATTCCTTTTTCATCTTTTTGCTCCCTTAGTGCTATTTTTCTTTATCCTATACACTCAATAAATTCAGCACCACACAAAGCACATATAAAATGATTCAATCATTCTTATTCTTTATTTCTTGTTATTTCATTTATTCTTTTTTTTTTGGATGTAATAACAATAAAGCCAGCACTGTTATGTAATTTAATTTTATTTTTTCCTTTTTCCTTACTTTTTATCCTTAAATAAGCGTAAATTTTTCTTCACTAAGTATATCTTCACTTCTTTTTAATAAGAATTCAATTTATTCTTTTATTTTGATAATTTTCAATCTGCCACACACACACACTAAATTCCTTTCATTCTGCACAACACAGCATAAATTGTCTTAACAAGCGCTCTTTTTATAAAAACACACCAAATTTATGAGAAACTTTTCTTTCAAAAAATGTTGTAAACAAGTTTTCTTTCCTCTTTTCCACTTCAATTTATTCGTGTAATGAGTTGTAATAGTTTTTTAAAGCACACAGATAAAAAAGTTTTTATCTACACTTTTTTTTTCATTCACAATCATCCACCGAACGTGAAAAAACTTTTTTGGTGTCCGTTTACAAGAAAATCCAACTTGAGAATGAAGGAAAAATTTTCTGCAGCATCCCAGAGAAGCGAGCTTTTTGTTGGTGGGGTTTTGACTCTCTCAAAAGCTCACTTCTTACTCTCACTGCTCTCATGAATGAAAAATCACGTGGAAATTTTGTAAACAAAAGTTTTCGGAAATGCACATGGAGTTGGTGAGTAGAATGGGTAGGAAATTTTGTGTAAAACCATGTGAACTGCATTGAGGAAATGGAAATGGAAATGCTATTTGTTAACGTAAATAAAATTGTGTGCAATCGATGTGAATGAAAAAAAAAAATTATTCAAATATTTTGAGAAACAGGAACTCTGGATTTAAAAAAAACCTTTTCCTATTCAGATCAATTGTGATCCAGAGGTGCGCTAGGGCGTTTTGTAGCTAATGAGAGTTTAACGAGTGTGGATGCGCCAAATCACTGCACTCGAACCTAGACCTACAATTTATAGTTGGATCCGAACCACTCCTTTGCTGACATTTCTGTCTGTAGCCTACAAACGAAGGCTGTGAGCCTCATTTCCAGTGCAAATGATTCGAAAAAAGACAAGTGAAAAATTTATCGTACCCAGTCTCGAACCCATGAGCCACTTCAGCTCACACCTGGATTTTAAAGTTAACCAGTATAAACACAAAGTTATTTTCTTTAATCACCAGTACAGATTAATTGATTTTCTATTCTGATGTCGAGTAGCACTAGAAACTGGCCCAGGAAGAAAGTATTTTCAGAATAGTCTAGACTAGGTTTGATCCTAGTAAGTTAAATTTTGATAGAAGAGACAATAAGCAAAATATGTAATTTTCAGTCTTCGTATGTTGAAATAATTTTACTGAAGCAATTAAGAACCACCAAAAAATTATCTGTGAATTCTGAAAAATTATTTAAAATATTGAATAAAAAACTTTAAAAATTTTCAATATCATTCAAATTAAAATCAAAAAAATCAATTTATTGATAATTCAGTAGATAATTACAGTCAAACTGCTTTTAATTTTTTCTAATGTTCAGTATTGCTACAGTTTTCATTAAAAACAATATGATTTTTCCACTATACATTTTATTGTATTCTAAAAAAGTTGAAATAATGTAAATAGTAATAATAGTTATCATTATAATAATAAAACAGAAAAAAAAGCATTCACAATTATTCAAGAAAAAATTTGTATGTGCATTGTAAAATATGAACTGTTCAAGGATTTGTTTTTTGAGTGACAACATTTTATTTTTTTGAAAGGCGGGATTGTTTAGTCGTAATTATTTGGCATTGTTTTTTTTTAAGATTTTAGGAATATTCTGAAAAAAATTTAAATTTTTGCAATTTAGACAATTTTTCAAAGTGGTTTAAATTATCACAAATATGTTTAGCAGATCTGAAGTAAGCTTCAGCTTACAAAATCTTTAATATTTTGGAAAAAGTCGATGGGCAGTTTTGATTAAGTGAATTATTAGGAATCTCACTCCTATGTCTATTTCTCCAATACACTTTAGAATATTTCATATAGCCAAAAAAGAATTCACATAAAATTTTTGCCACTCAAATGCTGAACTCCATAAAATTAAAGACATGAACATCTATTAGTGAAGTTTGTTCATTATTGTTTGATGAGTTTAGATTGGAAGATGCTCATGTCTTTAATAACTACGCAGTCAAAGCATTTTTACCTTGATAATAAAATGCCTATAAATATTAAATTCCTTTTTACACCTAATGTGAATTAGTTTTATGTTGTATGAAAATAATACAAAAAGATCAGATTGGCTTAATTCGTTTACACCCTTTAGTTGATTAAAAGGAAGGTCACATGAGTTGAACATCCATTCTTCTTTGTCTATGTAAAAATCTCTCAAATCAAACCTCTCAAAACTTGCGGCTTAAACTATAGAATCTTTTCTTATCCTGTAAATTAAAAAAGAATTAGCTAAAAGCTGAGAACTGGAATAGTTTATGACAAACTTACCACATATAACTATTTTCAGTTTCACTTCTATTTGCCTTCATCACACCAACTCCACCTCCAAGTCGTCTGTAGTTCATGCAACCACACAAACGCCATTGATTTGCATCTGGATCGTAAACTTCAATAGTCTTTAAATATGCTGTTCCGTCAAAACCACCAACTGCATAGAGAGCACCATTAACCACAGCAAGACCAACCTAAAATATTACAATTTCTTAGATTTTATGTAATTTCTTCAAAAAAAATGTTTATACCCCAGATCTTCTGGAAGTCATTGCAACAATTGGAGACCAAGAGTTATTATGAGGGTTGTATCGTTCCGCGGAACTCAATTCCATGCAGTCATCTCTACCTCCAACTGAAAAATTATCAGTATAATATTTATTTTTGCCTTTCTTTAAAAGCACATTTGGCAACAAACCTGCATATATAAAATTGTTAAAAACTGCACAGCCAAGATGTTTTCTTCTTGTTGACATTGGAGCTACCATCGTCCATTTGTTCTGCAAGGTTTGAAAAATAATATTAAGCATTGTTCTAATCATTAATATGCTGATTAAATTTACCTGTCTAGGATCATATCGCTCAACAGTATTTAAAGGAGTTTGTCCATCACTTCCTCCAATAGCATACTAGGATTTGGAACAGATTATATGAATAAGTAAGCTACAACAAATACCAATACAAAATTACCAAGAATCCTCCTAAAACTGCAACCGCAACTCCTAATCTTCGACTAACCATTGGAGCCACTTTTGTCCACTAAAAATGAGCAATAATAAATTAAAATTTTGTAAATTTACTGTAACCATAACTTACTTTATTTTCTTTCGGACAATATCTTTCAACATGATTCAAGCACTGTACACCATCCTGCCCACCAATAGCATATAGATAACCATCTGCAATTGTGTAAAACAAAACACAAACTTGAATAAACTTGGTAGACAATAATTTTTAATACAAAAGTTTACCTAAAACTGCAACGCCTACAGACGTTCTGCAACTTGTTGTAGGACTTACATCACAACTCCATTGATTCGTTTGTGGGTCATATCTTTCAATTGAATTCAGATACGATTGACTACAATGAAATTGAAATTATATAATTTTATGCAATGACGTAAATTGAACAATTTACCCATCATGTCCTCCACAGGCATAAAGGAGATCATTACAAACAGCTACGCCAACTCCGCATCTAAAAAAATAATGGGTCATAAGTTCAAGGTTTGATTATTGTGAATTTGAATGCGAAAACATAATCAAACTGATAAATCGTAATACATTCTGGTGCATTCATACTGACTTATAGATAAGATACAATGGATAATCACCTTCTTTTACTCATTGGCGCAACCATTTTCCATTCTAATGTATTTGGATCAAATCGTTCAACAGATGCAATTGCATCACCAGAGCACCATCCTCCAACACTATATAGAACCTCTCCACGTTTCGTTGGCCTTCGAGGCCGTGTTCGTGGACCTAAATTTATTAAGATAGTAAAACGTTTTAAAAAATATCAAAAAAGATTAATTACCCTGCATCAAGGGACGTTCTTGTGGTAATAGCAAATAGTTTTTAGCTTCATCGACCAAATCACGACAAGCTTCATCGCTTCGGACAAGGAGATCACTTCCGACAGTACCAACCAAAAATTTTGGACTCAACAAAGGCATTCGTACGTGTTGTAAGATTTGTGACAAGTGCTGACGACGTTCAGCAACATTATATTTTAGCCATAACATAACAGCATTGTAAACTTGCTCCTCATTTCTCACATTAAGTTCATCACTACAGATTATATCTACTAATTGACCAACGGGAAGCAATAAAAATTCTTCAGATTCCATGACTTCTTGGAAGTTGTGCTGTGTGAATTTGTCTGCGATTCTCAATAGTTCACGACATCTGAAAACAGATAAGACTGTAAGTTATGCTATTTTTTATGTTAAAACTTGATTGTCATGGTAGTGATAAATAACCGAAAAATTCGAGGTCTTGCCATTATCACTACAAACAGAACCAATATTGAACACAACGTACGAATGAGTATCTGCAAATGCTCGAATTCCAAGACAATTTGTTGGATCAAGCTGACGCTTTAGAAACTCGCAGCAAATATCCTGAATTTCCGATAACTGCAATAAACACGCAGCTGGAAGTAATGATTGAACATTTGACTCTTCTACAACAATATGAGATGTATAACAAAAGTCAATTAGCAATTCCATTGCATTTTCATCAATGTCTCTGATTGTCACTTCTGTTTGTCTACTTTCTTCCAGTTCTCCTGTGAACATTGCTTTAAAATAGACTGAACATGCTGATAAAATGACTCGATGAGCGAAAATTTTTCTACTTCCAACATTCAAAACAACATCACAGAGTTCTCGATGTCTACGAAGAACATTTAGTTCTGCTAGTGTAACTTTCGGATGTTTTTCAGATATGTGCGATAATCTTGCTGGAGTGCAAGTTGTATCGAGAAGTATATCCATGTTGTTGACAGTTATAAAAATATCTCGATCTTGTGGGGTAAAAGTAAAAAACAAAGGAGAAGAAATTATGAGATTTTTTTTTTTCATAAATATTTTCAAACAAATTTTTTTTTTTTGCATAAAAACAAAAAGGCTGAAAAAGTTTCAGAAAATTTTGAATTTCATGGTTTCTAGTGTCTTTTTGGATAAAATTTTTATGCACCTTAATGGATTTTACTCTCCACAAATGTTGAAAATATTTTAACTTCCTAAATTATGTTCATTGTGGTTTAAAATTGTAATTTATTTCACAACAAATTTTTTTACGCGTTTTTAACTTCTATAAAGTATGGAAAATATGAGATCAATGCAATTCTTTCAAACTTGTTGAATTAAGTAACGAGTGAAGTTGCTTGCAGTTAGAAATTATTTTTAAAATTTCTTCGAAAATAGTTTCTTGCTTTATATTTTCATTTTTTTAAATTTTCAACATTTTGTAAAATTTCAAATAATTTATCAAATTTAAAATTCTTAAATTGAAATCTAAAAATATTTTAAAAAAATCAGACAAAAATCAAAATTTATTTTTATAAACTTTTTGATCTTTAATTTTTAAATCATAAATTTTTGTATGAAAACTAATTGAAAATATATTTAACAATTAAAATGACATCACTTATTTAGAATTTAATTTTCATTCTGTCTTATCGTACCTCATCCTACATTTTTCAATCCATAGTCGATCATGCAAAAAATTTGGAAAGGAATTTTTAAAATTTTTTTGAAAAAGAAATAAACGTTACGTTTATAAAGTTACTAGAAAAATTCAAAAATTTCTAATTTTGATTATTTTTTTCAATTTTAAACTTAATCGTACATTTAAAATATAATTCAACAAAATTTCATCAGTTTTGCATAATTTTGATTTTTTTTTAATTTCAAACAAATTATTTTCTTTTTTTAAATGTTGTAATAACCAGCTTAGTGATTTTAGACTACAGATTTATATTCTAATTATTCTGATAATCAATGCTTTGTAATTTATGAAAAAGAAAATAAAAGATATTGATATGTTTTTTCATTTCTCATTCAATTAAGATTTTCATCATTTACTTGTTGCTTAAATTATTAGCTATGCTGTTATAGAAAAAGAACTTTTAATCGTCGCTCATGTAATGATTAAGAAAGTTTCTAAGGCAAACATTTTGATTAAACTTTCATGTATCGATGCATAACGAGTAGGACACAAATATTATTTGAATAGGAAAGAAAAGTTTGTGATTCTATTTCAGTTCTTCTTCGCAAACAAAGTTTTCTTCTCTTTTAATCTTTGCACCAATGATAGGAATAATGATTTATTGTGGGACATTTGAAGATTTAGTTTACAAAAAAATAAACATTTTGACAAGTGAGAAAGGTTGATGAAAAACTTTTATAAATTTCTATGCATGCACACTGAAGTTATGCTTTCTCGCTATCGGGATCGGGATCGGGATTTCCCGGGATTTACCGATCCCGATCAATCCCGGGATCCCGAAATTTATCGGGATCGGGATTGAAAATCCCGGTTTTTTAATTTAGGAAATTATTGATGTTTTAGAACCTGCTAAATACGCGACAGAAGAATTATTGCGTAAATCAAACGATTTATTAATTGCTGAAGGAACAATTAACTTTTTGCTAGACGAATTGTTGCTACAAGGAACATTATTGTCTCAAAAGGTTTACGATATGAATTGCGCTCGCATAGGTGCACGAAGAAATGGAACATTAATTGACTTAATACTTTACCTCAATATATTTCTTTAGACAAGCATTTTAAATCGTCAACAAAAGCTGCAATACATAAACTTGGCATTGACTTATTGAAAAAGTATTTTGTCAAAAACTCTACAAATGGAGCTATGGAAGCTTCAACATCCAGTGCAAATCAAATCCAACCGTCAAACATTTCTATTCGAGATAGACTGAAACTAAGCATATCTGAATATACATCATTAACAACAGATGCAGCAGCAACAGAACCAAATAACTTGAAAAGAGAGTTTAATTGGTATGACAAAAATAAGAAGAGAACCGTTTTGTTAGATCAACTTTACGATGCATTGATAACAATGCAGCCGACCTCAACTCAAAGCGAACGAAATTTCTCTGTTAGTAACAACATTCTTACAAAACAAAGAAAACGTTTACTTGACAAGAATCTAAATGCAATTGCATTTGTTAAAAGTTTTTTCATTAATGCTTAATTTTTATTATTATATTCACACCGTTTTCTATAACCTTTAAACTTACATCTTTATCAACATTTATTTTCTATTTTTGTTTATGTTCACATTTTTCAAAGGAAACATGGATTAAAACATCTACCTTGTAACACATAAATTATAACTAATTAATTAAGGAATAAATGACCGTATAAGTAGCAAAAAAATATACAATTTTTTTTGGAAAAAAAAGCAGAAAAATGCTGTTTTTTAAATTTTTTTACATATTCGGGATTCCCGGGATTTCCCGGGAAATCCCGAAAAATTTCAATCCCGATCCCGATCCCGAAAATTTGTCGGGACCGGGATTTCGAGAAAGCATAACTGAAGTAAGCTTAAAATTTTTTTTCAATTAAAATGCTATTTCCACTATTTTTTCTAGATTTATTTTTGAATCTTTTCCTATTTTTTTCTCTTGTTGATTTTATGCTTATGATTTTGTAATTAAAATATGTTAAAATAAATAACCTGACATGATTTGAAAAACTTGTTGATTTTTCGTGCTGCACAAAAATAAAATAAACAATGAACAAATCCAAAGTCACGATAAAATATTTTATTTAATTTTTTTTTGTCATATTCATTTAACTTTTCTGTGAAAAAATGGTCGTTGGACATTCCAGAATCTTTTTTAATAATAATAATAAAAGTAATCCTTTATTTAATTCAATGGTTTAAGGCGGAACAGAAATGACAATATTTTGATATTAACCTGTCGGTAGTTAATTGAAAAATGAAATTTGATATCATCGGAACATTTGATGACTTGTGAATCTCGTTGGTTGATTTGAAGTAAGACCATATGACATTGAGAATCATTTTTAAACACACTTTGATAGTTCATTGAATTTCTCCTTTTGTCAATTGTCTCATTTAAGTATTCCACACATTTATAATATATAATAGTATGATCTCCTTGGCAGGTCTGGTTAAAAATTTAGGACATATTGTAACAACTGGAAAATAAATCGAAATCATGATTTTTTTCAAATCATGATTTTCAAAATTGAATAATAGTTTGCATCTGATATTGGAACTGATACATTTAACAAGTAAGAAAAAATTGGAAAACTTTTCATTTTTATTGCAAGCTGTACTATGAGCACCAAAGTGCAAATTATTGATTTGACGTCATAGTAACTTCCCAGAAAATTCGAGAAAATAAATTTAAACTTTTTTGGATATAAATTGAAAGGTAAGGGTGTTAAAAAGGTTGCAGCCCATGAATTACCTTCAAAAACTTTTGGATATAAATATTTATATTTCAATCTTTAATCAAGCACCAGGTTTTATTTAAAATAACATATTAATAATGTTGAATTTAATTATCCTGGTTTTTCGTTATAAGCTACTACTTGTTACTAAGCTACTAGCTTAGTAAAGTTTTTTTGAACTTGAAATTTTTTTGTAATCTTTACTAAGCTACTACCAAAAATAAAGTATAATTAATCTTTTTCAACTTTCTAAGTATCAGTTTCAATGCCTTATGAAATTGTCAATGAAATAAAATCGTGAAGATAGCAAAATTTCTTTAATTAAGTTAAAAAATTCAAAATTTTCATTGAGGTTCAATTTCTTTACTAAGCTCCTACTCATTACTAAGCTCCTAGTGAGCCAAAAAAATCACTTTTTTATTCTTCTAAGCTACTAGCTTATAACGAAAAAACAGGGTATTATACTTCAAATTTCACGAACTCTCAAAAATTCTGAACAAAATGCAGCTTCTTAAAAAAATATTTTTTACAATCAATCTTTTTGCTGTGAAATTATTTTCATGTATTGCATTCTAACGTATCTCATATCTTCTTAACGTATCCTTTCGTGAAATAAAAAAAAAATGAAACGTATTTGAATAAAAAATTTACACGAATAAAAAAATGTTAAACAAGGAAATTTATTCGATTTAAAATTCACTTCAAGAAAGGAATGTTCGTGGAGGGAAAGAGACGAAAAATTGAAGAAGTTTTTTGATGTAAGAAATTTTTTATTCATCAAAAAATAACTTTAAATAGGACTGGAAACTCGAAATCAACTCGAGATAAATTCAGATGTAATCATTATGTTATCTTAAGGTTCAAAGAAGGGTCGTAATAAAGGATAAACGTCAAATAAGAAACCTGTGGATTCAAAGATCATAAATACAAAAATTAAACTTAACTTTTAAAAAAAATAAGGACTTTTCCTATAAAAATTTTATACAGTCTAAACCTTACCAATTTTCAGCTTTTATATTCATAAGATATCAAAAGAAGAAGAAGTAATAAGCATGAAATAAAAAAATCCATCTTCATATTCAATCTAAAAGCAATGTTTTCATTTCTCGCAGAGCGCCTTGCTCTTACAAAATTCCCTTCTTCTGCTTTACACGAAAATCACTAAAGTAAATTATTTGATTCAGTTGAATAAAACATACGTACACATATCATAAGCTATCATTATCATCAACGTGCTCAAGTCAATTCAAATGATCATAATTTCATAAGACGTTGAGTATTCTACGCGCATTTGCTGCTTTCTATTGAAATTGTTTTCCCTTTTTTTTGACACGTTAAAGCTCAGAACAGACAATGAAATTCTTAACGCACAATAAGAATCCTTTTAAACAAGAATGCTTATGTTTTTTTTTCGGTAATTTGTTTAGCTTCAATGTTCGCATAACAAAAGTATAACAATGACATTGAATTGTTGATGGATGTTATTTATGGATTGAATCTTCTCCTTTCATCCATCACATTGCTGGAATATTTGACTAAATAACACCCACATTCTACTATCTTTACTTGTTGATTGCATTTTGACTAAGATCAGTCATGCCATAAATCATGTAGAAAAAAATTGGAATCAGATGTAAAGGTACTGAAACTAGATGTATGTTTTCCATTTGTGCTAGCTTGTGAATTGGGGATAAAAATAAATTTAATTTTTGACATCATAAAATATTGTTTTTTTTCGAATATTTGAAACTTCTTTATCTTGCAAGTGCTTTTGAGACTTTATAAAGACAAAGCTATGCTGTTGATTTAAGTGTTTTACAAATATAACGCTAGAATTTATTGAAATAATGGTTTAAATATATTCAGAG